CACTTCGTTCAGCATTCCTCATTTTATTATATAGGATATGCAGAAGTAGCAGTAGTAGGTATATATACCCTTGCACTTCGAAAGATGATACCCTCTTTCAGCACTCTACACCAAGCTATCAGTATACATCATATAATCAGTACATTCAATAGAATAAAAAGATCTGCATACCTCTTCCCGATCAACTGGTTAATCGTACGCCCAACATCCCGGAAGTTGATAATGTTGTCGAATGGACGACCCGGGGAATCGAGATCTACGCTCGATTGGCGGGGATGCGACGAAGACATGATGATCTATTTCCGTGCCTCCAAGATTGAAGATAGATGAGATGAATGAAGTGGTGAATATACAGTACAATTGTAGTGTCCGGGATAATCATTAAAGAGGACTTTGCAAAAGATTGATCACAGCAGGCAGGATAAGGCCGGATAAAAGTGGGACAGGAAATGACTGGGAGGGTCCGCTGTAATAAGTGCAGAAGCGAAAGACGAAAACGACAAACAATCGCAAACCGGGCAGCCAACCGACCTATCGAACGGGACTAGGCATGCAGGAGTCCAGCAGATATCTTGACGATATCGAATGGCCCGGCCAAGGCAGAAAAGGTGGAGGAAACGTGGATGCGCCGATGGGGAGCCGCGCGGCAAATGGCGGTGGAGCTTCAGCCATCAACAACACCATCTTATGGCCCAAGCTATGAGCTGCTCGCAGCTGTGCCGCCCATCGTTTGGCCAGTCAGCTTCTAATCTCACTACGATCTACAGATAGTTGATGTTTTCACCCGCTCGTGCATGCTCATCTCCCCGGTTACAGGCATTGCATTGACATTCGCACACTAAGTTATCAGAATTAAATCATCCTCGGTTCCATGACTGTCTGCCCAATCTCTGGATCCGACTGAACACACAGCAAACAGCAATCGCATCCAACAAACACTCATCCCTACAAGAGTACATAGCAGTAGCACCGTAAAACCAGTCAGACAAGACATCAGTGGTATGTACCCAATCTCCTTCCTGGTAAAAGTACATAGAACGAACACAGAGATATCACTACGCAGTAAGATCAGACCACCCCTCTCCCTTCTTTCAAATAGAAGAACAGACAATAAAAATCCTCAACTCATATCAATCACAACTTCTCCGAGAACCTTGACTCCCGCCCCGTCCCGCTGCTCGCTCGCTTTCCCCGAACTGTTGGGACAGACAGGCCTTGTTCCGCCGCGCTTGCACGCCGTTCCTCCGTCTCCACCCCCGGAGTGGGGATGGCCTGCGAGCTTCGACGAGCAATATCATTGCTGCCAATCCCTTCGGCCTTGCCCTCCGACGAGCCCTTAGAGACGATCTTCTTGAACCCACTCACGAGACGACTACGCCTATCTCCAGCGGATTCCTGACCTGCCTGGCTGACAGCTTCCTTCTCATCCTGGCCTTCGCTGACCGACATCCTTTTCCCCATAACGCGAAGATCATTGGCCGTCACTGGATGGGATCGAAGCGCTGCCCCTCGCGAGTCGTCCTCGGCAGCTGCCTGTTCAGATTCTTCAGGGCCAACAGGCGCAGCCGGTAGCTCGGGAACTTCGGGTTCCTTCTCTTCTGGATGAGCTATATCCCAAGCTCGCCCGTCTTCGTCTTTCGATTTCTGTACTGGCTCGGCTCTTGGGATCTCTCGGGCTTCCTGTGTTTCCACCCTCTCAACTGCTTGGGGTTCCGGCTGTTGTTCCGTCTCTTCGACTGCCCGGATCTCCGGCTGCTGCTCTGTGGCTTCGACTGCCCGGGTCTCTGGCTGCTGTTCTGCCGCTTCACTCACTTGAGCCTCTGGCTGTTCTGCCGCTGGCCCTGTTTCCATTGAAGGGACCACTTCCAGAGTGTCCTTGCCTGACTTCGTAGCATCGCCTGCTGCAGGTCCACTCGGACGACGACCCAGCCGTCCCTTGAACCATGATCTCAGCTTAGACTCGGATTTCGCAATGGTTTCGCCGGGTGCGGTCTCCGTAACAGCACCTGCAATTGCCCCCTGCGCGCCTCCAGCGGACGTCTGTTGCGGCGCAGTCTCAGCGCGTGCCTCATCTGCTGCTCCGTCAACAGCCCCAGTTAGCGTATAGGTTTCGTTGTCGGAGGTGCGCTTCGACTTGCGGCTCCACAACCGGGCTTTCTCCTCTTTGTACTTGGAGTCGGTTCTCAAAGAAGCTATTGCATTTTATCAGGTCCCAAGCCCCACAACTTGAATCAGCAAGACAACTCACCTCTCATGCGTCTTTCTTCTGCCCTTGTGTCAGCATCTCGTTCGCGTTGGATGGCTTCCCGTCTCTCAGCCTCTTCCTGATCAAGACGCTGCTCTATCTCCCTGGCCCGTTTCGTTTCCGCACGATCCGTGATTTCATCAAAGGTGGGTTGCAATCGGGAACGAGCGAGAGCCTCCACATCTGCCATGTCGACGTATTTTTGAGAGCTGATATTGACGCGGTCGGCGAACTGGTACTGCCCGTCTGTCTCCTGTCTCTCCTTTGCGCGAAGTAAGGCGGTTTCCTCCAGTTCCTTCTGCATGGCGGCTGGGGCGCGTCCTGTCTCCGCATAAACACGCATTTCCATATCTTGGATGGTAGCATCGACGTTCCTCCTCGCAGCCTCCATCAGGAGCGCGCGGTCCTTTTCTCTGCGCTCATCCACCGCATCGAGCTTTGTTCGCAGACTATACATCTGGCTTCTGATCTCCTTCGACCGCTCTGCGTCAACCGAAGAAGCATCACTATCAATTGATAGCCTTCGTCTACGGACCTGCAAGCTAGAGCGCGTCGTTTGGGGCTCGATTCCGTAGTATTCGCGGTAGATGGCCGCCTCGTCCTGCATGCTGGCCAACTTCTCCGCCGCCCGCTTCTCCGCGGCATCTTGTAAGCTAAAAGCTTGTTGCAGAATCATCGGCTCTGCCCCCGTCGCTGTTCGCTGGGAGCGCATGCGACTGGGGCTGATGGGACCCTGGTCCTTGGCCTCGACGACCGCATACATGTCACGCGCCATAGAGACTGCTGCGGCCTGCAGGATGCTCTTCCGTTTGTAATCGTCGAGCTCTGGTGCGACGGGTGGGGAGGCAGTGTAAAGCCGCGCATTGGTGTTGGCAATGTGCTGGATCCTACTAGCTTCATTGGCATTGTCAAGGTCTCCAAGGACGTCGCTCGTGTTCATTCCCACGTGAGGCGCCTCTGACGGGGCGGAGTCAGCTCTCCTTCGGTTAGCATATAAAGCACCGGTTACCGCATAACGCGTCCTATCTCGGCCTGTTGTACCGGAACGTGATTCGATCGTCTGACCAGCTCCGGACGAGTCATACTTGAGGTCTGAAGGCCCAGTGGATGAGCTGACAATCGACCGACGGTCCCTGAGAACGAAGGCCGCAGCCTTGTAGCCTTCCAGGCTTGGCACCTCGGATGCGCGCTTGTCTTCCACGTGCTGTGTTGTAGCTGCACCTTTTGTCCCCCATCCTTTGGATTGGGCGTGAGCGAGAGCGGCTACTGCAGATGCATGACTGAACCCGGGGCGGGAGCCCGTCGCCTTCAAGGCTAGGGAACAGAAGGATAGTCAGTATTTGGGGGGAGGAAATGGACCTGTGGTAGGGAAAGTAAATACGAATGGAAGAAGTGGGATGCTTACTGGCCAGTTCAGTTTCAGCTGTCGACGGCTCACGAACAGATAATTTACGCTCTGGATGAGTTACATAGAGAGCGGCTGTTGCAGCTGTGAATGGTGTTGCGTTAGCTATGGATTCGTCGCGTTCTGGTACGATATACAAAGGAGAGTGGAAAATTGGGGTGCATGAGATCATCGACCATAGCAGCGTGGAGATATAATAAAGTAGGGTAGGGATGTGAAACAGGCTAACAGGGCACAGGGCCGATCAGGAGCCCAGGATGCAAGGACGCAGATCGCAACTTACCTTGATCCGCTAGGCGGGCAGACCGGGAGCGGCCGAGGGTAACGCGTTCGACGGGCGCGGGTTGTTCAAGGGTGGTTGCCATGATAAGATAACGACGATCGTCTACAGGGTTGAAGAAGGCGAGGCATTCCTGACGCAGAGGAAATGGGCGGAGAAGAAGGAGAAAAGAGAAGAGAAGAAGGTAGGGAATTGGGAAAGGTTAAAGGGTAGGCAGCAAAAAGGGAAGAAACGTTAAAAGGTGGGTGTAGGAAGGGGGTGGTGGGAGGGGATAAAGTTAATGACGCCGATGATGCTGTGGGTAGAGTTTCATGAGGTAGTAGTGGTGGTGGTGGTGGTGGTGGTGGTTACTGAGTAAGTACTGTTAGTACTGTTAGTTAGTAGGCAGAAAAAGAAGGGACGACTAACTGCACACGCTGATTGGGGAAGGAACGAGCAAGAGAGAGGAAGCTGAGAAGGGAAGGTGCGAGTGACATCAGGGCCGGGAGCTGATGTCATGATGAACTGAACAGACCCGAAAATGGTTGCATTTCTTGCTTCTTCCGGGGGTGCCTGGCAGCTCTTGTCATTGACTTTTGACTTCTCTTGCAGTTCTTCATTCAGCCTTATTCCATGGATCCAGTACTTGACTAGTGGGATGATGAACTTTAATTACTATCTACCCCCTACAACATGAGTACAGAACAAGTTTGACGAACACTATTTCCACGATGGATGGTCAGGCACTCATACACTCACGCACTGCCTGGTACAACATCCATTATGCATCCACTTCTCTCCACTCGCTAGCTGTCTAGTCTAGACTTCGCGCAACACAGCACCAAGTCTGGGTCTGTGTAACAGCTAGACCCGTAGCCTTAAGATCCAGTCCCGCCTAATCACTCTTAGTGTTGAAACTAAGTGCTATAGCCATTGTTATAACTGGTGGTCCGGGTGAATTGCGCGCGGACCCGGGTCATGTCATCATGGCAGTGCCTGCCTTGCTCGTGCCATTCGCTATACCCCAGGGTTGATAATATCGCAGGGCTCATAAAAGATGCACGTCCCCCCCGCAGCCCAAGGGATTAAGTATTGTTGAAGTTATCTAAACTAGTCTCAAGTCATTCGTTTACGAACCCCTCTTTCTCACCCTCTTCCCCCCCTCCTCCTCCTCCTCCCTCACCTTCGCAGCTCGTATTCCTCATCCTCCTATTCCTGTCCCCAATAAATATAGCTAGTAGCCTCACGGGCTCCAGTTGTATACCTACATTTGATTACTACCTCCACCACAACATAAACAAACAGATAACCCACCCGAACCACCACCACCACCACCGCAACCATGTTCTGGTTCTCATCCCACCAACAACAACAGCAACAACAGACTCCTCTCCTCCCACCCCTACCCACTTCGAAATCCAAAATCCGTAGAACCCTCAAAGCCCCCGGCCGTCCCATCGCCATCCGCAAAGACCAAATCACCGACACCAAAACCCTTCTAATCGTGCGTCCCCAAGGCGACGCCCAATCCGCCGTGGCATACAAAATCCAAGATGCCGACGGCATAACGCTCTACACCGCTACGGGGCGCAAATTCAGCGACCGACCCTGTCGCGAGTTTCGTGATGCCTCGGGACTCCCGCTCTTTGAACTACACCGCAAGACCTCTTTCAAGAACAACTGGTCCGTCACCTTACCCGGCAGCAACCCAGCCAGTCCGATAGCCAAAGGTGCTCTGCAGCGCTCATCCTTCAGCGCCGCTGGCTGGGGGAACTGCAACTTCACCATCACATTCGACAATGTAGCTGCGGCGGACGGGAAGCAGCCTGAGGAGCGTACCCTGACGTTGGAGGTGCAACGGCATGGGAATGTGTTGGCGCTGTTTGATATCGTGGATGGGGATCGCAAGATCGCTGAGGTGAAGGAGAGTATTCGCCATAATGAGAAGTTGGCGCTTATGCCTGCGTCTCGGCTTGGGTATCGCCCTGTTCTGGATGTGATTGTTACTCCCGGGGTAGATATGGCTTTGGTGAGTTTTCATGTTATTCTTTTAACAGAGTATATTTACTGCATACAATATATCATACATTCTACAGGATTATGTCTAACCATCTCGCGGTTCTCTAGATTGCAACGATTGCGGTCATCGCATCAGACACAGTGTTTGCTTCGAATTATTGATTGTGCGCGTTATTGAATTGTGGATATGTCGGAACGCCATTATGGTAACCATGAGATTATGAACATGATGACTCTCTTTCTGTCTTTTTTCCCCTCTCTTCTATTCGATTTTTATTTATCACTCTATTTTCTCATCGTTCTATTGTGGTCTTTTTCATCGGTTGTGGGTACTTGAGTGGCTCGCTGGGCTGCGTTGAACCGCGGTTGACAGATTCCAGGCGTTTGGATGGTTTCCGGAGCTTCCCCCAATGCTACCTAACTCTACCACTTCGTCAGTGGACCCATACTTGGGTTCACAGTGGTTCTACTTGCTTGGCTCATTCAATTCTGTCTAAAGCTGTCACGCGGATCAGCCCTTCCAGCGTCGGGAGTCTTCGGGTTTTGTTTACTTTACTTTTCTTTTTTTTATTCTTTTGCTTTTTCATTTCTAATCTTGGAGTCGAGCTAAAATGTATATAGTTGCGATCGCTGAAAGTTTTCGTCAAATCCAGTGAGGGGTATTCTTAACTAGGAAAAAGCAAATAATCAAAGATCATCATCCGTAGATCGTGTGCCTTCACCGCAAGTGCAGCAATTTCAGAATATCATGGCGGCTGAAGAATGAGCGATTCCATTTCCCGAAGATATCTAGAGACAACATTAGTCCATCCCCGGGCGACTAGAAGTAATAGCAAGAAACACCTACACATCGGAATGCTCAAGGCACAGACTCCCATCTGGATGCTGGAGATGGCCAGGAAAGCCGGTCTGATACCGTTCTGCAACAGCCAGTCATAGGCATAGAACGTCAACACAAAGCTGAACATGTTTTTGAAGACTAGCATGCATGTAAAAGACTCGACCGCAATCTCGCCTGTTGTCAAACGTCAACATTAGTCCTTGATATAATATGCCGCATCTCACGGCTATACTTACGATGTGCATCGACAATGTACAGCGCACTGGCGACAGCCCCCATCACCATGCCTATGATGACTAGAGCAAAGAATACGTCCGCCACAAGCCATCCGTATCGAGCGACATCCTCGGCGATGATACCAAACCCATACAGCCCGGCGCCGCAGAAGATCAACTGGAAGATAACGAGGAGGATGCGGAACTCCGGCTCGTACTTCCCTCGGTTGAGTTTGATCATGATGCGGTTCATCGAATCGGAGAGAAGTCCCGATAGGATCAGACCCAGGATAGAACCAATGAAGGCCCCGGTGTACAGGTACCCGGTTTGCACCTCGTTGAACCATAGGGGAGGGCCGAGGAAGATGGCGGCTAGGACGACACCGATGAATACGGTCCATCCGATGATTACGCCTTGGATCAAACAGGCCTATGGATGATGATTAGAACGTGGCTTGGTGATGTTTTCAGCTGCATGGCTTACCCATAGGATCGCGGGGTGGAAGAATAGCGGAAAGGGCCGTAGAAGGAGCTTGAAGAAACTCTCATCGGTTTTGCGTCCATTGAAAGGTTTGAGGGTTTGGAAGTAGGACACCTTGGCGGGCGTTTTTGGCTCGGTCTTCCGAGGCAGCTCTTGAGAGGACGTATGCCGGTGAGGCTCGACTGCGGATGAGGTCTGCTTTTGATCGTCTGGTCCTGGAGTATCCTCCGATGTTGTGAGGTTATTGAGCTGAACTTCCGAGGCGGAGCGATCGTTGGCATATTCAAAGTCGGCGTTCAAGTAGTCTGGCCGCCTGAAAGCTGTCTCGGGGACGAAGAAGAATGTAAGAGGCAGTGCTGCTGCCGCAAAAATTGCTACCAGGTAAAAGGTCCAGTCCCAACCAAGGGTATGTGTGATCTTGCCCGCCAGTACTGGAGTTAGAAAGGCGGCACCAAAGAGAGCAACGTTGGACAGTGCCATTCTTTTGCCCCGTTCCTGTGTGCCTGCTCAGCATGTGCTTGTAAGCTCCGCAAGATGCTGTTTATACTCACGTGCACGTAGAACAAGTCCCCGACACATGCATTGACCAGAGCTTCGAAGGGAGCTAGAGCAATTCCCTGGAATATACGAGCCCATAACAGGCTTTGATAGTTGTGTTTACTGCCCCCAGCCCAGGCACAGCTCACCACCATCAACGCATTCCCAAGCAGAAAGAGATGACGCTTTCCCCATACTCGCGCTGTAGGTACAATCAAAATCCCAGCCACTCCAACACCACAGAGATGGTACCCGGTGAGTAGCGCCACTGAAGTGAAGCTCTTTCCATAGTAGAGAGCAATGGTTACGGTGTTAGCAGCCATCAGCGAGCTGGTCGTTGCGCAAAGCACCGCTACAAAGGACAGAGTCAGAAGCGTGACATCGCGCCTCCAAAGTGGCCAGTTCTTATGTTTCGAGTCTGTCAGCTATTGTCCATGTAAATAGTAGCTCCTCAAGAGTGACTTCAACACACCAATGGATCATTGGGATCATCGCTTGGCTGAGGGACAAGTAGGATGGGTACAGAGCCCGACCGATCATATTTTAGATTCGAGTCAATGACCGGTTCATTGTTGGGGTGCTCTCGCTCGAGAATGTCCGTGGTTCCTATGCAGAAGCTGTGTTCAGTGTATTTGCAGAGACAAGCATAATTGTGCACGGGATGGCTCCTACCTGGTACATGAGCGCGCGTGGTATCCAACACGCCAAGCCCCATAATTTTTAGATTTGTAGCCAGGCAGATACAGTAAGAATTGAAAGTCAGAAGCCCCCGGATAGGGTGGAATAAACCGAGAGAAAGCACAAGGAGGCCAATTCTTGATGGGGGTTTTGGACGCCTAGACTCCTCCGACTGGGAACTCAGGAAGACGGGATCAAGGTTCCACGAGGATCACGCGGGGAAGCCGAGATGCACGGCGTTCACAATTGAATTTTCCCTAGACGAGGGAATACAGTTTGCGGGGAGTTTCTGCCTTCCAGAAAATCGTAAAGGATGGGTGCCCCGAACGGACATTCTCGTTCTGCAAGGGCGGCGGTAGTAGCATGATTAAATCCAACCCAAGTGGGTGTATACGACTAGAGGCCAAATCATAGGACGCGGATCAGTAATTTTCTAATGATTTTACTGCTGGCTATCAAACAGCTACTCTGTTTCTAACGAGGGCGGCCAGGCCCAAAATTGGATCGTGAACACCAGCCATCTTACCACCTTTCTGAAAGTACGTGTCTTGGAGTTTGTCGATCGAATGAGGTAGTGTAACTCAAAGGGATGGCTCATTTATCAGACACGGCAAATCTACCATACTTAATAACTCATACCATTCAAGTGTACTCCGTAATACTATCTCATTGGACATCGAGGTGATACATGAAGAGACGCTAGCACATCTTTCAAAGTTCTTGGAGGTCGAATCCAAGTCTTCGCCGTGCAAGATGTACGCTGAGAGAAACTTTATATTGGCTAAGCGCCACAGAATTCCTCCGCAGTGATCGGCCATGCTCACAGAAGTTACCGATAGCAACGTCCCCCTCTTCGGCTGCTCATGCATGCATGCATGCATAATTCGAGGCTGCAACCAAATGGAGAGACATTCATTTCATGAATGAAACAAGGCCTGATGCTTTTACGATCTGCAAAGCAAGGGATACTGAACAGGGCCAGAAGATCCTTAAAAGGGTCTTTGAAAGCTTGACGAGTCCAGCTGAAAAAGGGTCCACCTACACAGTAGGGTAGTAACCCTGGCTGGAAGATCAACAACGGGCTCGGGGGATCTTCATTTACGATTGGGCCATCTGTGCCATCTGCTAGACGATTTAACTTCCTAGTGGCGGCCAGGGTGGACTCCTCCCCTCCTGGAGGTGGCTCGTTCGTACAGGACTTCAGACAGATGGGTGAATATTTCATTATCTGTCCAACTTCATTGGTTGCTTCATTGCACTGGCATGCATAACTACATTCCTCGGGGGTTCCGACGACGAGCTCATGAGCCTTGTCTTCGTCCCCAATTGGCCACCTCCCTGTTTCTTGACTGCCAGTCAATGGCATGGGCAGCAAGCTCATGGCGTTGTCATTATGTATAACAAGCGGATCGCCTATCCGCCATCGGAGCAAAACCCACCAGGGATACTTTCTGGGGCCCGCTTGTTAGGTACAACCTTATATTTTTCTGTATTGGCGGTGCCATATACGTAGCGAGATAGCCCTTGGTTTTATTCTCGGTCTCCTAGTTATCTCATGTAAGTATGACTATAATTGTCTTCCCTACGATTGATTAATTAAGAGCTTCTTTCTCCCTTGGACATGTTCCATAGATATAGATAGCGTAGCAGTAACTGGTATTAATTCTGGCTAGAGTCTCCAAGGCAAGGAGCTTCAAATACACAAACTCATACTAAGACCTCTTGGCCATGGACTCACTTCTGGAGTGCTTTCCAAGCGAGGAAGTGAGCTGAAATCTGTTGGCTCGACCCCAGTCGTTCTTTCTTCACTTGATTCATGTGTCACATTCCCTCCACTTCCACCACTTCTTCTACTTCTTCTACTTCCTCTTGTTTCTCTTCTTCCTCCTCCCCTTCTTCTTCATCCACTTCATTCTCCTCTCGCCATCTTTTGAAAACTCCAGTCGTCTTTCCATCGACCAACATCTCTCTATCTCAATTTACACCCCGCTAGCAAATCTCGAAAGGCATCATGAAGCTCTACCACGTTACCTTAGCCCTCTTCGCTGGCCTAGGCTTGGTAGTTGGCCAGGGGATGGACAGTCTTCCACCCTGCGCGGTAAGGCTCTGTTACGGCAACTTGTCTGCTCAAGTATTGCTCGTTATATATAGCTGACCCGATTATAGAGAGACTGCGCCACCGGTTCTATCCCCAAAACTTGCAAGGCTATTGATGTGAACTGCATCTGCTCTGACAAGTCCTTCATCACTGGTATTTCATGCTGCGTTGCTTCGACCTGCTCTGCGGAGGATCAGACCTGTATGTCGAATCTCCCTTTCCCAATACCAAACCCCCCTTTTCTTGGCCGCGTGATACATGACATCAGCTCGGCTTTAATGGCAGCTTCTAATGGATTAATCGTGTTCCAGCTGCCCTCAATTTTGCACAGCAGATCTGCGGTGGCGCCGGCGTAACTGATCTCCCCAAGAGCGCTAGTTGCACGAGTGGGAACACCGCGAGTGCTACTTTGCAAACCACGGGCACAACTACTGGTGCTTCTGCGACTACTACCTCGACTGGTGCAGCTAACGGAACCCGTCTCGACTCATCCAGCTCTGCCAGCGCGGCAAATGCTACCAAAACGGGAAGTAACACTCAGTCCGTGAAGACGCAGGGCGCTACTGCAACTGATAAAAATGCCGCAAGTAATGCGACTGCCAGCAGTGCGGCTGGTATGATCTTGGGAGATAGCAGTGCTGGCCTTGCTGCAATCCTCGGGGCAGCCTTCTATGCCTTGCTTCTTTAGAGGGCACCGGATAACGTGTCGCCTGATGGTGCTACGAGTGATGATCATTGAGACCAAAAGTGGTTCTGTCCTATCTTCAGGGCTGCAGAATAGCATCCTACAAATAATCTCCTTTCATGAAGATGGATGCTGGCTAAATTGAACTGGACCAGCGCAGTTAACTGTAATATGCTTATTAATTGTATGATAGGATCGGAATCAAGATCGGCGTCTTTTGCTGCAGTAATTGCTGTATTGCCTACAAATAGAGGTGCACAGTAGTGCGAGGGTCACGCCGACGGCGTGGATTTGTCTACCGGTCCTGTTCCACGAACCGGTTAGCTGCTTCCTGTCGCTCTTCCCTAAGGGTTAGGAGAATCTATCAGTTGTCAGCAAACCATGACCCTGGCGTACCCACCAGAGCTTTCTCTGGGGGAGCAAGCGTGGGGAGGGCAAATTTACCCATAACCAAAACATCATTTCCATAAAGCCATATGTGAACACCACCCTGTTTTTCAGTTGATCCAGACCCGACGTAGCGGCACCGGCTGTGCCGTAGTTTCCCATAACTGTAGCGGCATCCATCCCCCACGCCGATGGTTGACTCTGGTAGATGAAGAAGGAAACGGCAAAGAAGATACAGAAACGAGAGGCGGAAAGGAGGGTCCAGATCTCCGTGTAGAGCGAGGCTAAGCGCGCCATGAAAGGGTTGGTGCGCACAGCCCCTGCCACCGGTATAGGGGATTGCACTCTGGCGGCTTGGGCCATGGCCAGGATCTCGTTAATCTGCGGGACCTTGGTCACAAGGATAAGATCGACCAGGGCATCGACGACGAGGAGGACACCACATAGGGCGAAAGGGGATTGAGGTCGGGAGATACTAGGGGTCGCCTCCTAGATTGATTGAATGAAGTGTTCAGCTAAAGCGACGGGGTAGCACAAGGGGCGGATGAACAAGTGACCATAAACATACCAAATTTAAGAATTCCCCAAGCATGAAGACGAGGTCAGACTCGGTCACGACCTCTGGCGACCTGGTCAGGTACACGGCCAGCACAAACAGGAACAGGGCATGTGCCTGGATCAAGGTCTTGGAGGAAAGGAGAGCCATGCTGAAATGATTGAATGGCTGTAACGGGCGGCCAGCTAGTAGTTTCTTGTGCAACGCATGCACTAATGTATCATGGCCAGGTTGCAGAGAGAGATTCCGGGAGGGTTGAGCTCTGCAGCTGTTTCAATTGTGGATTAACAAGAAACATTGTTCGACCGATGGGATTTGAGTTGGGGAACGAGACTTGGGTTTCCCCCGGCGGCCGAGTGGGGCTGGGCTTTTGGCAGCCTCTCCGATCGAGATGGAGAATAGCAGGCCGGGAATGCGCCAGACCAACAGTTAGCGAAAAACCCCTCCTCTCAAAGAAAAGCAATCTGTCGGCTCATTCGGAGGAGGCTACTGCCCCCCTTTTGCCTGGTGCACACTCTTTACACCTCTATACTAACCTAGACTATATGGCCAGAGCTCCGCACGGGAGAAGCTGATATTATTATCGCCGGCACTGACATCATGACCGACGTCCCAGTCACCTTTACCAAAGAACGACACATCAAGTATTTCCTACGATGTCTCAAGACCTTTCTTCCCGGCTTATACACTTCCAATGACTCCAATCGCATGCTTCTCGCCTTTTTCACCGTCGCCGGCTTAGACCTCCTCGGCGTCTTGCAGAGCAAAACCACCCCCGAAGAGCGGCAAGGCTACATCGACTGGATCTACCACTGCCAGGTTCCCACGGGCGGATTTCGAGCCTTCACTGGAACGGACTTTGGCGCGGAGCATCGAACATCGGAGAATGAAGCCTGGGATCCAGCGAATGTACCCTCGACCTTCTTTGCGCTGGAGCTCCTCGTCATCCTGGGCGATGATTTATCGCGAGTGAAGCGGAGGGAGTGCTTACAATGGTTGCCGCGCATGCAGCGTGATAATGGAAGTTTCGGAGAGGTGCTCGGTCCGGGAGGGAAGATTGAAGGTGGTGGTGACTTACGCTTTTGCTGCTTTGCAGCAGGCACCCGGTATATTCTGCGGGGGAATGGCGGGGAAGATGTGGACGGAATCAAAGACATTGATGTGGACAAGCTGGCCGCGTTTGTTCAGGCTTGTCAGGTAAGTGATCTGCATCTTTTCACTCCGTATCCTCTGACACATGACATTGGCTGAGATGCATTTGACTAGGCATATGATGGCGGCATGGGGGAGGCGCCTTTTTGTGAAGCGCATTGTACGTTCTATTCGAATATCCCACTCTGCTTAATGTTGGGCCCCTTTATGGTTACAGAATGCCAGCTTACTCGTATACACCCGCAGCCGGTCATACGTATTGCGCAATGGGCGCCTTGACCTTTCTAAGTCGTATGGCCAAGGATCAGAAGCCACCGCCAGTCCTTTCGCCAGGTGCGAACGAATTTGAGTCCTTGGTTCGTTGGCTCGTTGCCAGACAAACGACAGAGCTCGGCGACATAGAAGAGGACTCGGATGACGACAACAGCCTTGAGGTCAATGAGGTTCCGAGACCCGTACCGGAGGCCGTTGTGGAAGTCAGCTTAGATGAGAGTCTCGATAAGCTCCCTATTATATCGCCACCAACGGAACAGGATCTACGATGTGCAGGCTTCAATGGACGATGTAACAAGTTTGCTGACACGTGCTACTCATTCTGGAACCTGGCCACATTAGATGTAAGCAATCACAATTTGTGTGATCGGGTGGCATTGCTGATTCGGTCGTTGGTGGGCAGATGATGAATAGGTTAGATCTTGTGGACGCGAGTCGGAATCGGCAATATCTCCTCGGAAAAACGCAGCATATCATCGGCGGGTTTGGAAAGGGTGTGGGCGAACCACCAGGTTGGTACACTTTGGAGAGGGTCATGATTTTCTAGAAATCCCCTCGCTAACTGGCACTTGCAGATCTTCTACACTCCTACTTTGGGATGGTCGCCCTCGCGTTTCAGGGAGAAGAAGGGCTAGATAGTGTTGACCCAGCGCTGTGTATGAGCCATCGGGCCGTGCAGCAACTACAGTCTCTCCCTTGGTGGAAAGAAGGGATCTGAAGTGATGGGTTATTGAATAGAGTCGGAAGCTTGGGGCCTCGGGTCTCGGTGAGATGGAACTTGTCAATGTCATATACCCCAACCATGCTAAATGAATCGATTGATATATATATATATATACAGCAATGAGCCAACGGTAAGGTACTGTGTATCTTCTAGCCTTTACTATGTAGATAAGGTGGCCCTTCATAACGGGTAATTTTAACCTATAGATAGACGTAGTATGTTGCAGATGTAATGCAGTCATCGTATGATGCGATAACTAATTTTCAGTATTTTCATGACAACTTATTCATCGTCTGGAGTGACAGCCCCGTGAAACAAGATGGACAATCCATACCAGAAGCGTGAGCAGGGGGCGTTCACTAGAGGAAACTAGGGAGGCATGTCATTAACGAAGACCCTATCAGAGCATCAAGTGTCGACTTATTTTGCCCTGTCAAAGTAATCAGGGGGTCGGATTTGCCGGGAGTTAATTAGGGACCTCTGAGCAAGATTGACCGGAAGCGATGACGATGTTGGAAAACGGCTGTTAGGTAATCTCAGGGGCTGCTGGCTGACTAGACTATGAATGATGCTAGTAACTTAACTTAGCAGTTATGATGTTATGATCCACACACAATATCTACTGCAACAGGAAGCAAGGCCGGGATTGATGACATCGGCCCTTCGGAGCGGCGGACAGAACGGTACAGAGTATTTTTCATAGTAATGCTACTAACTTGGGGAAACGATAGGTACAAAGTACAATCTTTACTATTGAGGAAAGAAGAAAACTCGGAGGATTAGGAGTAATCTTAAATTCTCCTGGCTTGTGAGTCTGTTTTATTCCTCCGTAGTATGGCGTAAGTACTACTATCTATAATATAATTTGGTAAGGACAAATAGTAATGGAAAGCTAGATACTCCGTAGTAGAGGATAGTATATTCGAGCCAGTCCCAAAGGTGCCTGAACGCAATGACAGAGAAACGGCCCACGTTCCCACCGGCTAAAATGTGGCCGGGCGGCTAAGCGTAATTAATTAAAAGTAGGAATGGATGCGAACATGGAGGGGGGAAAATAGAAATTGAAATACTAATAGAAATCGTGGGTTTTGACATTTCATAATATTATTACTATTATTGATGGGAATGGGGTTTCGGGGGGGGTTTTTTTCATGGGGAAAGGAGGAAGGGGAAAAGAAAACAATAATGATCTTGGAAATCAAACATTCATTTCAGTGTAAAATAGGTAGTATCCTTCTTAACGCTCCTTCAGCATCATTGTCACATTCTATACTTTGTTCAATCACACTCATTTTAATTAGCTAGTATATTGTTTGGGGACCACAATTCCATCTGCTCATCATCATTACAATCATCATCGCTCCTCACCACTCCACACACAGACAGACACAGACACAGTGAGTCTCCTCCCTCTCCCCTGGGCTCATGCACGCCCCTGCCGGCTGTCGTCAGTCCCCCCCAACTCCGTCCTTGCCAGACTCTCCTAACCCAGTCCTTCTCCTCCTTCTACTAAGACTACTACTATTATTATCATCGTTCCTTTCCACCCCCCCATCACACCCTCAACTTCCTGCTCGCTTGCTGGTCGGCTGGCTAGAGAATTTGGGGCGTGCTTTCTATTTTGCTTGCTTGCTTGTCTGCTGGCTAGCTGGCTGGCTTGGCTGCTGCTTTATTGGAATTGCCCAGCACCTGTCGTCATCTAATCCCGGATTTATTGTTTCTATTCCATCGCTGTACAGATTGCCCCTCAAGCTACGGGCCCTGCCTTACTACTAACTAATCATCACTTTACTGAGTTTTTCAGGCTGGTATGTTGTTTGCCTTCTTCTCCAGAACATCACCCCCGCTCTCTCACTCTCTTTCTTTTCTCTCTCTCTCACTCTCTCTTCTTCATCCATTCCCGCACTTTTGTTTGTAGCTTGTCGCTATAGAACCAGATACCTTCCTGAAACAACACTAACGCTCACTGGATCTATTACTATCTAGCTTAGTGTATTATCCCTTATCGGCCTCCCCTACTCTGCCCGTTCCTTCTCCGAATTCTTGCGGTTCCGAGCTTTCCACACTTCTGCCGACTACTAGCTACTAGGTAGCTACCACCATCACCGATTTGCG